GAGAATATCTTAAAGAAGGGGATATATAGGTAGTGCAGTGATGCTCCACTTGTGCTTTATTTTTTTTCAACACACAACTGGTGTGTTGGTGGTGTGTTTGTTTTCATCATGCTAACCTCGTGCTGTATTGCCAGTGGGTCCAAACCAAAATCATTGCCTCGATGATGTCATCATTCGTGGTCAGCACATTTCAGATCAGGGAAGCACGATGGTTGTATGGAAATATATATATTATTTATATTGTATTATCTGTAATCTAGTTCTTCCAGTTAGCTGTTTGTTACACTCCTTGTATATATGTTTGTATATATGTGTCTTTTATTATTGTCACAATTACAGGTCAAACCACAAAAAGGCTTCATAAATTGGTCACTAGCTGTCCTGGTTTCTAAACATTGGCATTAGCCATGAAGACCTACCAACTAATCAGCCTCTAACCCTCATGTTCCATCAAATATACACTTTTAGTGTAAACGAAAGGATCATGAGCCTTTTTATAAGTCTTTTATTGAATCTGTTTTAACTTTTTCTATAGTTGCTTGGTTTGGAAATCTAAGTGTTCAAAACAAAAACTTCTTAAACAAAATTGTTATTGCAGCAAACAAGAGAATTGGGGTAACCCAATCCCCCCTTAATGATATTTTTATTTGTCGTATTGCTCAAAAAGCAAGGCTTATCCTACACTGCTCTAGCCTGGCCCTTACTTTCCTACGCAGCTCCGCTCAATTCTAGTTTCACTTCTCTGCTCCATCTGGGACTTCTCCCATAGAGAATAATTTCGCTGGCAGATTTTTAGCCGGGCCAATCAGAGAACAGAACGTCGATTTTCTGTGGAGTGTCTGCATGTAGTTTATTTTACCTGGGCCAATCAACAAACAGAAGGCTGAGTTTTGTATGACGTTGATGTTCTGTGCAGTGTCTGCTTGTTAGTTTAGCATACGGAAGTGGAGGAAGTGAATGAAGCCAGTCCGTGTTGATAAGGCTTCCGAATTAAAATAAATTTGTCTGACAAAGCAGCAGCAGCTCTCTTTTACAGTCGTCACATTCAGCTCTGTACTTTTCTCCTCTCAGTAGGGTTGTTTACAGCGCTCACGATTTCCGGTTAGCTTTTTAGCTTAGCCTCCTTCACAACAACACACACACTTCAGCAGAGGCCACGCCTCCAGCAAGAAATCGCTTCTCAATAGCAATGAGTCCAGACCCTCTGTACAAAGCAAAGTGAAGGACAAGGGCCTGGTTTTTACCAGGCTAACACTGCTCAGACCACGCTTTAAACACAGAATTCCAGCTTCTTCTCTCTGGCCAGAGGTTTAGGCTTCAAACGATTAAAAGTAACAGATGGAGGAACGCCTTTGTACCCACTGCAATCACATCTTTAAACTCGTACTTTTAAAATTTCTGAACTTGTAGTTTTAAATCTCATCTATAAATTTACAGATGGCTGCTTTTTGTGTTTGTGTCCTTTTAACATTGTCTAGGTTAGGACTCCCTGGCTGCAAAAACAGAGGTTTGGATTTTAGAGTAACAGATGTTTGAACTCCTTTGTACCCAGAGTAATCAGATATTGAAATTTTGAAATGTATAGTTTTAAATTTTATTTAAACCTTTATAAATCGCTGCTTGTACGCTTCGACATTGTCGTGTTTGTATGTTGGAAATGCCTGACTGCAAATCAAATTTCCCTCCTTGGGGGGGGGACAATAAACGTATTGAACTGAACTGAACTATTTGTTTTGTATTTTTTATTACATACCATAAGTATGTTTTTCATCTAACAATGCACGTTATATGATTTAGTAGATGCTGAATAGAAACCATTCACCCATTTTTGATACTCAGTTGATTCTTACAGCAGTCTTAGTCAAAGTCAACAGAGACAAAATAGACAAAACACTGTCCCTTAAAGTCTGAATTTTGTTTCTAGTTTTTTTAAAGTACATTAAAATGTGACATCCCAGCTGCTGTTGTTAATTTGTCTGCTAATTAAAAGCTTAAGCCATCATCTCTCCTAACTAATTCCTGCACACAGCTCACTTACAGTGATGAGACTCATTTCTCAGCAGACATGGCAGATTAGCGTCAGAGTCTTCAGCCGTGAGCCCCTCATCTCTGCCTCTGTGCTACAGACTGATGCATTATGAAAAAAAATGTGATGCTGCTGGACCATGTGGGCTGCCATGCACAAAAAGGACTGGGAGTGGGTGGAGCCTGGAGGCTGACAAGTACTGTAGTAAGTTCTCATTGGCTCTCAGTGACATCATTGATAAAGAGCTGCGAAGGAGAGCGAGAGGAATGAGTGAATCTCTCTCGCTCTTTCATGCTTGAAGTCCTGCAGGTTGAAAAAGCTGCTCACAATGATGTCATTTTATTTTTTTAGCTGTTCCATCAACGAACAAAATGTTTCCTGACTAAACATCATTCTGTGATCATCCTGAGGATGAGATCACTGCCCAAACTGCTGCAGTTATTAAACAAATTACGACATCACAGAACATTTATGAAATTATTCCACTTACATTTTAGTACTGCCACCTGAATAAAGGCCAACAACAGAACAACTAACCTCTTGCACTTGATTATATTATGTGAAACATAATTTGCATAACAAATTTTAAAACTGTTGTTGTTAACAAGTTTGCAAAAAATTCATTTTAACTAAACTATTGAGACTGTTCTGGCCTTTTTAAAGCTCAGACTGAATTTGATGTAGAAACAACTCTAAACCTTCCAAATGAGCTCTTATTATTATCTCAGTCATTTCTAATAAAAGTTATACACTAAAATGTAATCATTTTGTCTCCCTCTCTGCTATAGGAATCATGGTTTTATCTCAAATCACCTCAGAGCAGTGTGTGCACATCCAAGCTTCCATTGATTTCTATTATATTTGACTTCATTATCTGCTCTTCAAAATTGTAAATGTTTTGTTTTGTTGTGTTTATTTGGTCATATTTCCTGAATAAAACACTGTGGGAAAAATAAGATGTGTAACATCAGTTCTGCCACTTACAGTTCATGATTTTTTTTCAATTACCAACATTAGGGTTAGATGATATGACTGAAAAATATATCAAGATATAAGTGTTTCATATCAGTCGATACTGGTAATTATTGATTAGTTTTTGTTTTACCTATTTGAAATTAAGACCAGGAGAAAAAAAAGGCTGATTAGTGATGTAACCTAAACTCTTTTATCCACAATTTCCTCTCGAGCTGTTGCCTCATTTTCTCCTTTCACTCAGCGTTGTTCTTTTACGACCAATGGTGCACCAATACTAATGCAACTGTGCCATTCTCGCCCCTGCTTGTCAAGTTGGGGTCTCTGCAGAACGTGTTGTCCTGTGGGCGGAGACGGCCCAAATCGTCAAAGGCCGAGGTCTTGATGTGGGCGGAGATGGCCCAACTCGTGATTGACGGAGGTCTTGTTGTGGGCGGAGATGGCCCGAGACGTGATTGGTCGGATTGACAGTGTGGTTTGAGGCAGGTGGCAGCAGGGAGCAATGGCGGGGAGTAGCTTGGTCGAGTCGGGCAGGAAGTAACATGTTTTTTAAGATTAATTTTAGTCATAACTTGAGAAAGAAAATGCTAGCTGCACGAAATTTGAACGTCATACATGTGAAAGGATGTGTAACAATATGGCTTGGTTAAAACACCCTTTATCAGTCTGTAAAGAAATATTGATTTTTAGCTATCTTTTTACAGGCTGGTTATGGATGTTTTAACAAGCCATATTGTTACACATTCTTTCACATGTATGATGTTCGAATTTCATGCAGCTAGCACTTTCCTTTCTCAAGTTATGACTAAAATTAATCTTAAAAAACACGTTTCCTGCCTGACTCAACCAAGCTACTCCCCGCTGCCTCCAGCCTCCTCAAACCCCACCGTCAATCCGACCAGTCACGTCTTGGGCCATCTCCACCCACATCAAGACCTCCGCCAATCACGAGCAGGGACGTCTCCGCCCACAGGACAAAACCTACTGCAGAGACCCCTTCCTCCTGCATGTTGGCCCCACGCGTGGTTGTGGCCCTCCGAATTTTTGTGACTCTGCAAAGGCTGCACGCGCTGTGCACCATTCAAGTAGTTTGTTTGCCTGTCAAGCTTTTGTTCTCCTACTTACAACGTTTTTACAAGTTATAAAGTGTACTTCCACATGTCCTTTTGGAGAAATCTACAGCAATATAAGCGCAAAGTATAAATACCTCCACTGACGGTGAGGGTGCGCGTCTTAAAGCCTTTCCTCTATTTGCATACATCCCTCAGAATGCAGTGCGGTTCTGGATCAGAGTTTAATGAAATAATTGTTTTACTGGACATATGTTCTATTCATACAGATCATATTGTGACATATAGCATTATTGTTTTATCGCCCAGCCCTGACCAACTTATAGTTTTTGCCCATTGACTGATTATCTAATGCTTACTTTCTAGTCTGTTTCTGCCTGCTTGTCAGGGAGTGAGAGACAGGTGAGTGGTTAGCATGGTTACCCTAGTGCACCTCTAGCTACAGCTTTAAGTTTTATTTTGTTTTTGGTTTTTTCTACATGTCATCTACAATTTGGGAAAACATCATCATTTTTTCGTCTTAGATTATTAGAAAACCGAGTCTCAAGGTTCTCTAAGATACCTAAACAACTCGCTTTGTTTTCCTTGGAGTCAGTTTTTCTGTGTCGGTTGCTATTTAAATGTTTTTCATCATCTTCATTTCTAAGAAGCAACAATGATGAACTTAACGCAACAAGATTTTTTTGTAAGTGCAACCTTCATCGTTAAACAATCTCATAGGGGAAAAATGTATGCAAATTTGAAAATTCTGATATTTGTAATGTCTATATAGCAACTAGCTGGACAGAAACAACTCCTCATTCCCTTTTAGCTGATATAATAAAAAAGATGGACAGTGCGTGTGTGAGAGAGGGTTAAATGCTCAGACAGCTCTTCCGAGACCTGCAAACAAAAATCTGAACAAGCGCCACATCCCATTAAAAACTACTGACCTGTTGCTGAGAACAATCAGAAGCCAAACACCTCGAGGACGCCGGCCTGGAACGTGTCTCGCAGAAAGCTTGACTATGTATTGTTATAATCCTCAAAATTGTCTCCACAAGATTTTATATCCAAGCAAAACACAATCCGACTGGAGCTGCTGTTGCTGAAGTCTAAATCCTCCTGCGAAAAGTCTTTACCTTCTCCCCGAAAAGAAGCTGCACCATCTCTTAATCCTCGTCTCCGTCTTAAAAGTTGCTCGTCAGTCAGCTCCGTACCTTTTCGGTGTGATTTCTGCATTTTTTTTTCTTTAGGTTTCTTCACTTTTAACTGGAGGAGAAGCTTATTCTGTTAAGAAATCCCATCTGAGGACACAGACATGACAGGGAAATCAAATAAAAGACAGATTAGGAGCAAAGTTGTTGCCACAGCAAATTCACTTAGAATTAAACTGATTCAAAATAAATACAGTGTATATATGTAAAAAAAGAAATTACAGAAAATCCTAAACGTTCAGTGGATTTGACGAAGACTTCAGACATAAGTTACGTAAAAGTTAAGCTTATTTGAGTGTGAAGTTTTAAAGACAATCAGAAACAAAACAAAAGCAAAAAAAACTTTTTTTCTGAGAAAATCTGCAAAAATCTGGATTTATTTGAAGATAAATTCAGAATCTTGAATTGTTTGTTTTTATGTTCTGAAACTTTGCATTAGAATGCATGAAAATGCATTAGTTATTTGATCACCCTTTCATAAGAGCCAAATACATGCTTTTAAATAATTTCAGCTGAATTTGTTGTATTTGAACCATTTAAATAAATCAAGTAAAAGTCGAGTTTTTGAGCAAAGAATTCTTGAGATGCTATTGCACTCTGGGTTCAACAAAGAAAGAAAATCAACACTAATAAAACGCTTTAATAAATGTCAGCTTTACACGAAGTAAGGTTGAAAATAAATGAATCAAATTCAATCAGATTTTTTAAAAAAATAAAACATTTCCTGGTGGGTTTGCGCTCCTTTCTGACGCTCTTCTTTGTATGGTCTGAGAACAAAGGAGCCTTTACAGAAACAAAGACGCTGCAGCGACTTTTACCTGTTGATTTGTTTCCAACAACTTTCCTAAACGTGTTCAAGACGCACCTATTTTTATTTTGGGATTAATCACATCTCTTTGCTTTCATCTCGGACTCCTTATTCGTTCTCGGGGGGGAATAAAATAATAAAAAAAGAAGAAAAAAGTTGCATTGTGCGCCATGGCTTTGTCTCCTTTCTGGAGAGTTTACACCTGATTGCATTGTGCTGAATTCCCCCCGGTGCGCTGGCAAACTTGGCAAAACAACCAACACAAAGTTTTGAATGACCAAACAGAAAAAAGAAACTGTTTAAGCGATCAGAACTAATGATTTCGTCTTGTTTTCTGCTGCTCCTGTGCGTTCAGAAAAACGTCCTTTATCTCCACAAACTTCTGACAGGCTTTGTCTTGTGTGTCGCAACATCTCCCAGGAGACACGCATTTAAAAAAAATAAACTCACAATCTCCTCCATTAAAGCTCAGAGGCAGTCCAACCTAAAGAGGACAAGTTTGTTGCTGCGTCTCTGAGCATCCCGACAAGTTTAGTCTCCTCAAAGCGCCCCGCGTCAAACAAAGGAAAGGGGGGAACCGCTCCTCTCCCTCTCCCTCTCTCCGCTCTTCCTCCTGCTTTGTGCTTCAACTTTGGAGCGCTGACGCACCAACTAAAAGACGCAACTTTTTTTTTTTTTAGCAGAAATCCCGCTGGAAAGAATGAGAAGGGGGGAAAAAAAGTCCCTCCAGAGCTGAGGGAAAACAAAACACAAGCATCCCGCTCGGAGGAGAAACTCACCTGCATGGAGGGGTGTGGGGGGGCTTCTGGGCTGTGCGCTCCCGTGTGTCGCTGATGAAAACAAAAAAAGAAACAACAACAACAACAACAAAAGTTTGAGAGGGCACATCAAGCTTTGTGTTGTGGAGTCCCCCTTTGTCTACACGTGTGATAGATGGATGGGGCTCCTTTTGGCCGCGCCTTGTTCATTTCTCTGAAGAGTCCCGCCCTCTCAAAGTCAACCAACTCCAACAGTGTCGGACTGGGGACACACGGCTTTGGAGTAATGGAGACTATTAGTT